ATTTGATTGAAATTCATCCATTAAAAGTAGAAAACAAAATTCTGTTACTTTGAACATTCTGTTTATAAAAACAAACAAATCTAAAATAATCAATATATTTCTTGCCTGTACAATGCCCAGGTGCCTTCACATATGATTTGAATTATAGTTTTCTAGGCTTTGTGCATAAAACCTCCAAGACATTGATTTGATATTTTATATCAAAATGACCCTCTTAAGGTTTTGAATTCAGAGTTGTCCCCCTCCTAGACCAGTTGCCATCCAAGACTATAGAACCTTTTTCTGTACTGCTATCTACCCATAAATGGAGGAGGAAGAAGAAGATTAATACCTTTGCCAGGATTATTAGCACATATGTGAATGTAATAGATTTGACTGGAATTCGAACTCAGCTCTCAGATACCTCAATCTGAGCTGCTATCCACTACTCCACCATGTCTCATATATATATATATATATATATATATATATATATATATATATATATTTTTAAGACATTTTATGTTTAGACATTCTTTTTATAGATACAAATATTTAAGTAAATGCTGTTTATAATAAACAGTATTAAACAACATTTAACGGCTTGAATGTTTAAGAAATTTTCATAGAAAATATTTGTCCTCCGACAGGAATTGAACCTGTATCCTATATGGAACCGTCATTTAGCTTGAAGTGCCTTAACTAATTCAGCCACAGAGGAGCATTTGATTAGCAAGTTTAAAGACAGTAAAATCAACCTTGCTACCTGAATGCTCCTCTGTTGCCGAATCAGTTAAAAGGCACGTCAAGCTAAATGACAGTTCCATATAGGATACAGGTCAGATTTCTGTCGGAGGACGAATATTTTCTAAGAAAATTTATCGGATATTCAGGCTGGTAAAAGTTGTTTAATACTGTTTATTATAAAACAGAGCATTTACTTAAATATTTGTATCCATATAAAGAATGTATAAACATAAAAATGTCTTAAAATAATTGTTGGACTTTGTCCATTTCATAATAAATATATATATATATATATATATATATATATATATATATGAGAGAGAGAGAGAGAGAGAGGATTAATACAAATATAAAATCTGGCACTTAGCTGATTGTTGTTGTATTTAGCACCTTGACCCCAGAGATTCATAGATGGACCATTTACTAATTACTGTCCAGTGTCCACTCATCAGGAGGAACAAGTTTATTTTTCTCATTTTCCTTATTTTTATATTAAGTTAAAAAATTATCTATGCACTTTTTATTGATATAAGATTGATTTTTTCTTTCATTGTGTGAGTATATATATATATATATATATATATATATATATATATATATATATATATATATATATATGCTCCATAAAATGGCACAGCATTATATTTTTTTACAATAAACACCGGTGCTGCTGCTTCTATGTGTCATGTCCCTTGAGGATGTAGACAGTTATGGCTCTCCACAACACCCTATCCTCTGTAGCTCTTGGTAATGTTTGCCTTTTTACTATCCTTTCCACCCACACCCCAGTTCTTCAGTATAATGATGCCATCTCATAAGGAAGGTGGCCTACTTCCTCTCTATGTCTCATTTTACCTTCAATATGCCCTGTAAGTGTCAAATTTTCCAAGCGTTTTTTCCTCATTAAATATCCAAGCAACTTCACAATCTTTTTCTGATTCTGATTCTTTCTGTGTGCTTTTTTTTGCCATTTTTCTCAAGAACTCCTTGCTTACACACACTGTCCATTGTATCGTCAGCATCTTTCAGTTTTCTCTTCATCTGGGAGGAAATTATCCAGCATTTACTGCCGTATATGAGGATTTACATTATATAACAGTTCAGCATGCTTTTCTTTGATTTAAACGATTTTTTCTGTTTCATGCTTAGCTTTTGGAAGACATATTTGCTATTAAAATGCATAGATTCCAGTGCCATATTTTCCATATCCTCTATTAAAAGACCCTTCCCAGATCTTTAAAATTCTGTTTGATTTTGACATAAACTAAGCTACACATAGTAAACAACAAACGCTGCTCACTAATATTAGGTCAGTCAATATAGTACAGAGACTTTTATACTGCAACAATTTACAGTGGCAGATTTAGAATCACTATTTGTTTTTTCTATAATATACACTTAGACGAGCTCTGTGTCCTGTTTGTCGAATCATTGATTTTGTCAGAAAGCCTTAAAAATTTTCTGTCTTCAAATTTCTTTCTAAAATAAATGCAAATTTGTTTATTTTACAGTACAAAAATGATCGTACATGTAAATTTGGATGTGTGCTTGGCAAACGGTCGTCCACCGTTTACCGAGCACACATCACTGGAGGACGACAACTTGAATACAACAGTTGACTAAAAAAAAAAAATCATAAATTATTAAATTGATAAGCGCACGCACAGTGCTGATAATTACTTTAGCGAAGAGGGAATTACAGGAAAACCCCAAAAATAACGATTAATAACTTATATTCTTGTCTATTATTGTGCTACAGACGCCTTGAAAGCCATTTTCCCCACCTAATGACAATTATTAACAATAAAAGTAGTAACAATATAGTTCGCTTATAAATGATTCTTAGCTGTACTCGTCAAAATATTGTGACGAGATTGCATCACTATTTTAGTCAATTAGACTTTAATCCCTTTTTTTTTTTAGACAACTAAAAATTTAACTCGTTGTCTTCTTCGAGGACCGTGTGCCCAGTAAACGGGAGACAAGCCTTGAGCTAAAATTTTATTAGCAATTTTGTCAGATGCCGTAAATTTCATCTTTATTTTGGTTACAAAGTAGAGAAGTCATTTGAAATTAAATTTCAACAGGGTGATATCCGTTTCATTTTTGTAAATAATGTGGCAACCCTATGGAATTAGAAACCATTATGACTATAAAAAGTCGTAATATACAAACAAATCTCATGTCTAATAAATTATAGCGCTTATGGGACATCGTAAGTTAAAGTATGAAGGCATTTATTTCCACAATATCAAATTTTTGTTTCTTTATGCAAGTTGTTTTTAATTTTTAAGAATTCACAAAATTTTAAGTCTTCTTTGAAATCTAATTAAATAACATTTTTTGGCTGTTATAAACTTAACTGTAATAATTAAAATGTATGTTCTTTTTAGAATAAAGTCTTTTAAAAAAATAATTAAAAATTATGCCATAAAAAAACGATCTTCAAGTGACAATAATGGTTATTTTTTGAGAGGATTTAAAAAACAAATAATTGAAACAAACAAACATTCTTAAAAAAAAGTATATTAACAAAAAATGCCCATTTTTATAATGTTTAATTAATAAACTGATATTTAAACTAAAAAACATAGGGTTTTATAAAATTTACTAAAATAAATGATATTTTTTTTTTTTTTTAAAAATAAGACTTTTTTCTTTCTTTTGTACTGGATGATCAATGTTTCTTTTTTGAGCAAGAAGAGACAAATGACATTAAGAAAAAACCTATATAAACTTTTTTTTATAAATGCTGCTTTTTTTTTAAAACTAGTAAAAGTAAACACTTAATTATTTTTACATAATTTATTAAATAGATGAAAAGAAGTTGGGGAGAGCCACTACACTACACGTGTCATAGCAACAATAATTAAAAAAAAAAAACTTGTATTTTTTTTATAAAAAAATGTGAATGAATTGTTGACCTTTTTCAGTGTTTATAATTTACGATGCATATGCATCATAATTTTTTTTTCATTTTTCAGTGTTTTTTATATATATCGTAGTCATCGTAAAATTATATATATATATAAATATATATATATATATATATATATATAGGCATCGTAAAAATTATATATAGGCTCATCGTAAATTGTTTTTTTTTTCATTTTTCAGGGTAAGTAACTTAATTGGCATCGTGATTTTTTTCATTTTTTAGCGTAAAAACAAATAATTTACGATGCCAATTAAAAGAAAGGTAAACAAATTCGTTCACATTTATGAAGAATATGAAGTTTTGTTTTATTATCATTGTTGTTATTATTAAATGACACGTTTTAGCGGCTCTCCACAACTTCCTTTCAATTAATAAGCAAATATTTTCCATATAAACGTTAATAAATTTTTCATCATTTGCTTTTAAATGCATAGAAACTAGAAATAACTTAAGTAATTCTTCCTTTTCTTTTTGTTTTATTATTTTCCAAGTCATAATTTTGTTTTCAAGCAAAATCAGTTTTTTTTTTTTTTACTTTTTATCTCGTCTTGAAAAATTAATTTTTTTTATTCAATTGCGAAGGGGAAAATAAAAAAATAAACTAACTAAAGATAATTTATTTTAAAAATAGATACTTTTTTTTTTCTCCTCAAACTTTTCCATAATTTCTACTTTCCAGATAATTAATAAAATATTTTACAGGTTAAGAAAAAAAAAAGTTTCCCCTACCGAACATAAATAAGAAAAGTATTTTTTAAATTTTATATTAAATTTAAATTAAGTAGATTTTATCAACATCAGAGGTTGGCTTTCTTAGTCTCCTTCTTTGCAAATCTTTTCCTTCCATACAACAGAAATAAATAAAAAACAAAACAATGTCGTTCTTGTTTGAATTTTGCGATACGAATGTTTTTCTTTTTAAAACACTGGAAATATATAAGATAAGAATCGGCATTTAGATAAATAATCCAAGATACCCGAAGAAGGTCGGAAAATACACAACCGACATGTGTGTGAGTTAAGTTGAGGAAAATAATAAGAATAATCGCATAATTTAATGACTTTCTTTTTTTTTTTTTTAGTGTCCGGCAATCAGGTTGTGTTCGGCAAGTAGCAAATTTTATAGATTAGGTCAAATTTATAAATAAAACATTTTTTTAGGGAGTTTTTGAATGTCAATCAACAAAAAAGAGGAAATGTGACATTTTTGTTGTTGTTTTTAACAGATTTTGGGGGTTGTTTTTAATTTAAAAGCAAGATGTTTTTTTTTAAATATTTTTTTAAAAACTTAAACAGTACTTATTTAAAAGGAAAAAATATATATACATATACTTACTTTGGATTGACTTTTCTGAGAGAATCAATTTGCTTATTTTTTTGTGCCTGTAAATTCGTCGTAGACACAGCCTTCGTTTTACTCCCCAAGAGCCAGTTCATATTCATCTATTCTAATATATATATATATATATATATATATGTTTATATATATATATGTATATATATATACTTTTTTTGTCTATGTCTCGTTGTTGTTAATGATGACCACTTGCTTCGCTATATAATTTTTTTTTTTGCCTTTTTTGATATTTTTTTTCTCCAATTAAGTCAGAGGGAAAAAGGACGGAAGAATGAACAAAATAAAATGATTGGGGGGAGAAAAAAATATTTAATTTTTCTCGCATTTGGGGGGGAAGGGAGAAAAACTGAAAATTAAAAAATGTATTTCTTCCTTCTCGTGTTTCTTCCCCCGAATTGAATAGCAAAACTTTCCGTCCGAACGACTAACGACGACAAAACAAGAAGAAACACCACAAATAACCCAAATATGTGTGTTACGTCATCACTTACTGCCTACTAATTTGTGCGTACTACGTCATTGCTAAGAGGGTTTGGAGGAACAACCGCACTTGCAAAGAAACATGTGTAATATGTCAGCAAAATGTGTGCTCTTATTGATTTCATGCAATTTTTCTTTTTAACTCATTCTAGTCGCTTGTAGATCTAAGGGCAGATAACTCTGATTTCTAACCGTTTCTGCTTCTTTTATGAAGAGAAAGGTTAGCATGTCTGTCGAGTAATTTACCTAAGTACAACGAATTTACAAGCAATATGCATATCGATTTTCGTTGAGATGAGGCAAGGCACAAGGCCTTTTCTTTTATTTAAATCATAGGGATAGAATTTCCAATGGGAAAATTAATCTAGTGAGTAACTCAACTTTAAATCCCTGGTCATTGACAAACATTCTAGGTATGGCAAAATAGAGTTAAGTATAGCTTTGCTTTACATCTTAACTCTATAGCTTACATCAGAGGAGGCATGGTGGAGTAATGGATAGCAGTTCAGACTGAGTTCAAATTCCATTCAAATCCATTACATTCACTTACGTGGTAATACCCTTGGGAAAGGTATGGATCCACTTCTCCCCCCCCAGCTATGGGTAAATAGCAAGACAGTCTGGGTTCTATAGCCTTGGATGGCAACTGGTCTACTGCAGAAAGAAATGGCAACCTACTGCAGGAAAAAATCTGCCTCATCAGTCATGTATCAAAAGATACATGATCGCCTAAGCGTGTATCACGTATGGCACATAACTGACTGACTACTTTAAATCCCTGGTCACTGACAAAAATTATGGGTATGGCAAAATAGAGTTCATTTTTTTTAAAACTTTTCACCCCAAGCAAGGCGGGAGTGTCACTAGCATGCAAGGGGTTACAGAAAGTGGGAGCAAGAGTAAAGAGGCATGAGAGAGAGAGAGGAAAGGATGACGAGAAGGATGGGGAATAGATCAGGGCATCTGGAGATATCGATAAACATTGCATTTGAATTGTTGGAGATTATAGCTATCAGGGAAACAAGTAAGTGGAAGGGAGTTCCACAGATGGGAAGTGCGAGACATGAAGCTATTGGAGTAGAAGAGATGGCTATATTTAACTGTTTCGACAGTGAAAGGGTGGGACTGAGATATCAATCTAGTGGCTCATTTAAATTCATGCAGTTTGGGAACTAGTGAAAATAGCTCGTTGGAGCAGTTACTGTGAAAGTATTTGTAGAAAAGACAGAGGGAGGTGATGACACATCTGTAAGAGAGTGACTGTAAACGAGATGCTAGATCAGAGCCAACCACATTGCATATTCATCGCAGCTTACATCTTAACTCTATAGCTTATGTCAGAGGAGGCACAGTGGAGTAATGGATAGCGGTTCAGATTGAGAAATCGGAGAGCCGAGTTCAAATTTCATTCAAATCCATTACATTCACTTACATGCTAATACCCTTGGGAAAGGTACGAATCTTCTTCTTCTCCTCCCAGCTATGAGTAAATAGCAGGACAGACCAGGTTCTATGGCCTTGGATGGCAACTGGTCTACTGCAGAAAGAAATAGCAACCTACTGCAGGGAAAAAATCTGCCTCGTCAGTCATGTATCGAAAGATACATGATTGGCTAAGCGTGTATCATGCATGACATATAACTGACTGGCTGATAGCTTACATCTAGGATATTGCATCTACAGGGTGCCCCCGCAAAAAACACAAAATTTTAGATTTACTATATGATGAAAAAAATTAACTAACATATAAAAAAAAATAACTATAATATTTTACTATATGAATAAACTAAAAACAATTAACTAATATATAGATTTTTTAACAAATTTGTTATTCCAGGATGTTGCAGTTATCAAATTTTCAACACAAGGTGATTGTACTTTTTAAGAACATCCAACTTGGGGACTGAAATAATGCCAAGAAATTTTGCCAGAGTTCTTTAGTTTGAACACCACATCTAATATTTGTGTTTTTGTTCTGTTTTAAGCGACTAAATTTCTATCCTTTGCTTTTGTTTCAAATAAATGTAAGAAAAATTCCAACAATTAAAAATAAACTGTACCAAATTTTCTGGTAACATCACATTGGTGCGAAAGTGACTGAAGTTGAAATGCCTGGTCAGGATCAATTGCATTGCAGATCTTTTTTTTTTTTTTTTTTGAGTTTGTCAAGAATATCTGGATGCACAGCAGGACCACAAGACCAGATATGGCAGCTGTATTCAATACATTGACTAATGGCAGATTTATAAATGTGCAAGATGTGGTTCTGTCATTTTTTATTCGTTCTTATAGCATTTGGCTAGCACTGATTCTACTAATAAGGGTGGGGTGAAGGCTTTGCCTGGGGTGAGCTCTTTATATGCCTAACCTGCCATATTCACCTGATCTTGTACAAACTGATTTTTACCTTTTTCAATTGCTGCAAAATGCTTTGATGAGGAAAACTTTCTCTAATGAAAACCCGATTCAAGCATTCGTCAAAAAGCTTTTCACATCAAAAATTTTGGAATTTTACTCAAAAGTTATGAAAAACCTGCTTGATAAGTGTTAACGTGTCATTGCAAATAATGGCTAATATACAGGGTGAGGCAAAAGTTGTGCACTATAGAGATGACTTATTAAAAGTTAAAAGTACACATGAAAATTTTATTTACTAGTTATTTAATTGTTAAATGTACTGTTCAAAATGTCCCTCACCTTTAAGAAAAAAATGCCAAGAGATTTTGCCAGAATTCTTTAGTTTGAACACCACATCTGCCATTTGTGTTTTTGTTCTGTTTTGAGCGACTAAATTTCTATACTTTTTTTTTTGTTTCAAATAAATGTAAGAAAAATTCCAACAATTAAGTAAACTGTACCAAATTTCCTGTTCTTTTTGTGGGGCACCCTGTATATTTAAAAAAAATAGCTGACTGTTAATTTCATAGTATGTCTGTCTGCTATGGCTAGCTAATCCCTGTTACAGATGTTTACTTGTACACATTTGTGGTTCATACTGCAACTACAGAAGGTAGTGAAGGTGTGAGAAGAAAGGATTAAGTATTAATTGGAAGAAGATGGAATGCAGGGTTGTTAGCTAAATAAACAGCCCAACATGCAAATTATAGATTGGAAAGACTGAAATCAAACAGGTGCAACAATTCAAATATCTTGGAAGTGTATAAACACAGGATGGAAAATGCGACATTGAAATCCAAAGGTACATAGGGATAGCCAAAGTTGCTTTTAAAAAGTTAAGCAAGGTATTAAGAAACAGAAAAAATTTCATTAGAAACAAAGCAAAGAGTACTGAACCATCATGTATGTATAGCTGGCCACTTGTATTCAAGTATACACGTCTACTAGGGCGACTAGCCAATCCCTATTGCAGACACTTGCTCAGGCGCATTTGTGTTTACTCAACACCCACAGAGCTCACCTTTGGTTTATACTGCAATTATGCCGACTTTAGTTACAGTTTTAGGAAAAGAGTGTGTTATCTAGCGTGATCAACAATTTGAACAATGCCAGCACACTCAAGCCCTCGGCCACGATGACTTGTGATTTCATGCTAGCATAGTTATCAACGACACTCAAATGTTCCGTCTACCCAATTTCATTCACAAGGCTTGCATCAACCCGTGCTATGGTTTTCATGCACTTTCCAAAGGTACCGCACGCTGGGATCAACCCCTCCATCTGATAAATTCAAGAAATCTCCTTCCTGACAAATCAACCATGGTGAGATTCGAACCCAGGTCTCCTGGTCAGAATGTGAACATTCTAACCACACAGCCACGTACCCATACTGTTATGTAACGTCACTCTTCCTGTATGGCAGGGAATGCTGGACAATCTCATCACAGATGAAGAAGAGACATGAAGCAACAGAAATGTGGTTCTACAGAAGGATGCTGAGAATACCATCAACCAAACATACAAGCAACAACAAAGTTTTTAAGAAAACGACAGTTAGACTTAACATAAAGAAGAGAGAGATGAAATTTCTAATGAGGAGAGTGCTTAGGAAATTTGATACTCACAAGATAGATTGAGTGCAAGAAAGACAGAGGAAAGTGATGCATCTAGTGAGCTTAAATAAGTGGATGGCAGAGCAAGGTTTAAGAGAGATAACTAAAAGACAAAATTTAATAAGAACTACAATTGAGAGGAAATTATGGAGAGCCATGATCGCTAACATCCTGAAGGGACACGGAACATAGAAGAAAACTGCAACTATGCTGAGCGAAGCGTGGTTACAGATTCTGAGAGAGAGTGCCTAACTTGGTATGATCAATGGTGGAACAAGTCTAGTATGCTTGAACTCTCAGTCACGATGACTTATGACTTTGTGCTAGCACAACGATCAGTGGCTTCTGAAGTTTCACTTACCCAATTTCATTCACAAAAAAATGGTATGGTTTTTCAGACACTTTCCAACAGAGCGATATAAGAAAGAAGTCATTGACAAATTGACCAAACTTGGATCCCATTCATAGAACACAAACATTATAATCATGAGGACATGCCTCAGTGAATTCTTCTTTCTTTTTTTTAATCTTTATCACCCCAGGCAAGGCAGTAAAGCCACTAAGACACAAGCAGTTAAAGGGTATGGAAG